ACAGTTCACTGCTATTTGTGCACCAACAGGCCTGGACATGCACAGGTGCTCTGGGGACACACGCCAGACACCAGAGTCTTGAATTCATTCCTGCATTTTCTCTCACAGCCTTAAACCACCTTCTGAGGACAAAAGGCAGCAAACAAAAGCATGACAGAGCTGGTAGTGTTTACACACTGCCAATAAGCCACAGAATGTCACAGAGCAGGTGACACACTGTGAGACCTCCCAAGTGACTCTCCTGGCTGTGATCCCTGCTGGGACTGACCACAGAAGGAACACCAAAGCCAAGGGACATGACTTATCCATGGCTCACGGCTACTCAATGACAGAGGTGGCAAGGGCCTAGCACAATGACAGCCCCTGGATTCACCAGTTTCCACCCTTCTGGCTCAAAGGAAGATCTGAAGTTTTCATAGTGGAAAAAGAAAAAATTAAGTCATGAACAAAACACACAAGTTTTATTATTCCTGGCTGCCAGTCAGGACCTTGTGTTATATAAAAGAATAATAATAAAAAAATCAAAATTTGTGGTCTACATGTCAGTCTGGCTTTTGTTCTGGAAGCCTGTTCAGTTCTTCAATGCTGATAATTACCCCCACATCCAGTCAAGTCACAGAATGTCCTCAGTAATTAATCCAAGACACAGGCAGCTAGGCAGCAGCTTGGAGCAGCATCCTCCTCCCAAGGAATCCCAGCTCTCAAAGCAGAACTGCCGGAACAGACACCCAAGGACCAGCCAAGGGCCAGCAAGGGCTCACAGACTGACCTCACATCAATATCCAGATGTTTTTCCAAGCCACCAATGAGCAGAACTGTTGTGATGAGCGCAGGAAGGTGTGTGAGGCAGACAATTCAGCCACTGCCGGTGTCTCAGTGGTACAGGCAGGCTGGCTTGCACTGGATGAGTCCCCAGGGACGCCGTTCCCCAGAGCCAGCGGGGATTTGCTCCACACCCAGCACTGCCTTTCCTCTGAAGAGGAGTGGCTTCCCACAACCAAAGGCAGATCTCCCAGAGGATGGAACCTGGGATGGGAACACTCTGTCCACAGAGGCTGAGGTCAAACCTCTGTGTTTGTCACCAAGCCAGGGGCTCCAGCTGAGCCACATGCAGGTGTGTTCCTGCCTCTGTTCCTGCCGGACACGGGACCGAGGTGCTCTGGGTCACCCGGCTGCTCCAGGATCCAGGCCCGTGTCCATCACCACCCTGGTTTTGTGCTGCACTGAAAACACAGCTGGCAGCTGCTGCCAGCCCAGAGCAAACCCCGCGTCAGGAGCAGTGGGACAATGCTCCCAAGGACTCGTGTTCCTTTCGGGAAGTGCAGCGGTGTCGTCAGGCTGCTGCACGCTCTCACTACTGCCAGGACAGCCTGTTCCTCTGACACAGACCACAGCTTTGTTCTGGGAATTGTTTTGGACTCCTGCAACAGATCTGAACGTGCCTCAGCCTCTGGGTTCAGCAGATGGATGCAGAGGGTGGTGCCACATTTCACCCCCTGCACCCACAGCAAGGACATTCTGCTGCCAAGCTCTCAGAGCTCAGCTCCCACCAGGGTCAGCACCTGAGATCACGGCAGGAGTCACTGCTCCATGCCCTCCACACACCTTGGATCCAACCCCTGGTGTTTCCCAGCCAGTCCCCTTCTCAAGCCCTCAACAATGAAGAAGAGAAATCAGGAAATTTTACTCAGGAGAGACACAAGACCAAGCAGATGAACAAACATAAGGAATTCACAGAAAAATTCCAAAAATACAAGAAGGGGGAACACAAGCATTGAGGAAAGCAGAATCTTCACTGAGGAGCAGCAGCCCAAGACCTAAGGCAGCCACTTGCCATGAAACTGGAGCCTGGGTGCCTTTTGTAAACAGCCATAGCCCTGACTCTGCCTTTTCACTGCTTTTTTGGAACCGTTCCATTTCTGTAAAGTTTCGAAGCCTTAAAAATTAAACCATTCTGAGGGTACAGAAGCGCTGGAGATGTTTTCCACCAGCCCTCTCCAACTGCATTGTAAACAATCGCTTCCTGCTCCTGTTGTGCAATGATTCAAAGACAAAAACAAGCCGTATTTACTTTCTCCAACAGAGTAATTCCAGCCCTGACCCAAAGCAACTGCGGGGGCTGCCAGGCCTCCTCCTCCTCCTCCTCCTCCCCTCCTCCTGGCTCAGCTCTGCAGCCCAGTCAGCTGAGAGAGCAAAAGGGCAGAGGAAAGTACAGAGAAACAAGGAGCACTTGCAGTTGCCGGCACCAAACTCCCTCACCCCCTCTGTCCCTCCTGGGCTATTTTAATCCTGCTTTCTTTCAACTGCTCTGAGCCTCAGATTTTGTTTTCCTTCTGGCGCAAAGAAAGTCTGAGCAATCCACAAAGGCAAACCAGTCTCGTCTTAACCATAATAAGCTGATTCTCACCAGTTGAACAGTAGGTAGTTACTAAGGGGCTGATTTAGGACTTCACTGGTTTTAAGACACAGCTTAGGAGAACACAGCAGGGTCCCAGCAAGGATCCCAAGCTCCCAGGCTTCGGCTGGTTCTTGTTTGTGCGTGTTCCCCTGGCTCGGTCCTGTGGCAGGCGAGGGCTGGGTAAGCATTCAAGGCCAGAAGGGTTGTGCCAATAAAATACCAAATATTTACAGTTTCCAAGAGAGCAGCAAGGGGCTGGATCAGCAGTTTTCAGCAGGCAAAAGCTCCAATTTTAAAACTCATGTAGGAAACGCCCTCACCTGCATTTGGACAGTCTCTGGCACAATATGAGGGTTTTTTATGGCATGAAAACACTCCTTTCAGCATTATACAGCGAGTAAAGCTCAAATGCTACCCCCTCCCCAGGAATTTAACCTGCGAGAAGTACACACCTCTCTGCGCCAGCTGGCAAAGGTCAAGGGAAACAGCACTTGGTGTTTCCTCGGATTCCGCTGTCGGGTCTGGAGATAAAAATCTGGGACTTTCTACAGTCACCTCCTCACCCTTTGAGCGTCCCCACCAAGCACCTCCGGCAAAGGGTGGGGGATGTGAGCACTGACTGCTCTGTGTCCACAGCCGTCACCGAGGGCGTGCGACACCCCGGGACAACAGCCGCCCCAACGCCGCCGAGACGGGGAGCGCGGAGGGCGATTTCTGGGGAGGCCTTTGTGTTCTGACAGCCAAAAGGGACACCCGGCCGCCGCCCTCGTCCCGGGCAACCCACGGCGCCTTGCGGCCGCCACCGCGCCCCGGCGACGCCGGTGCCAGGGAGAGGCGGCGACAGAGCGGGCACGGCCCGGGGACAGCGCGGGCACGGCCCGGGGACAGAGCGGGCACGGCCCGGGGACAGAGCCGCGCTCGGGCCGGGCGCGGCGCGGCCCCCCCGGCCGGGATGACATCACCGCGCGGCGGCTGCGG